TATTCTCTAGCCACATACTAGAGAAAATTTTAGGTGAATATAATGTTTTTAGAAAACAATCATCTATATTGAACTCTTGGATTTCGATTTCGGTCAAGAGTTCTACTATACAGATGTTTAGTTCTATTTTTATTTTTATATAATAATTGTATGCTTGATGTAAATTTTTACTGTTAAATAAATATCTACAAGATAAAAAAAAAAAAAACTAAAATTGGAACGATACAGAGAAGATTAACATGGCCCCTGCGCAAAAGGTGGGGCATAAAGTTCTCCGTGTTGGGGGAGAAAGGGGGGAAAGAGGGGCAAGAAAAAGGGAGAGACCTGTGTGTTACTATTCATAGTAATGTTCCAGTTTTCTTCTATTAGTGCATTTGTTTCACTATGCTTCTTTGAGGATATTTTTACCTATTTTTGTGATCAATTTTAGAGTTTTCTCAGCAAATATTTATATTTATAAGTTTTCCAACATATGGACGAATGTGAGAATTGAACTCACCACCTCCAAAAAATGGAAGATCACCAGTTTCACCTTTTTTGGTTGGAAAACTTTTCTTATAAGATTTGGCCAAAAAATTCTTGTTAAATACCTTTGAATGAAATGAGTAGCAAAGGTACATATATTATATTAAAGGTTTTCCATGAAACATTTAATAATAAGAAAATGTGTTTATAAAATCAATACCCTTGAATTAGTATAAAAAGTATTAAAATTTTAAAAATGATGACATGAAATATAAAAAATGAATATAATAGTGAGCAAATACAACGGTGATAATATTAACACAAATATTAATATTAAGCCACAAATATGGGATAGTAAAAGCATGCAGATGACATAAGTAATAATGAAGTATAGTGATGGATAAATCTAACTTGATATGACTAGATATATAAAAGCATGCAGATGACATAAGTAATAATGAAGTATAGTGATGGATAAATCTAACTTGATATGACTAGATATATAAAAGCATGCAGATGACATAAATAAATAATGAAGTATAGTGATGGATAAATCTAACTTGATATGACTAGATATATAAAAGAACACAAAAAGACTTGTGCAGTGAGTCAAATAAAGCAAAAAAAGCACCAAAATGATAATATCGAAATAAAAAGAAACAGTGAAACATCATATTTACATAAAGGTTAAAGCGAAATAAAAATGGTAAAAATAAAACAGTTAAAATGATAAATATGCCACCACAAAAATGAAGATAACATACTTCAGAAACAAGCAGAAACAGAGAAATTATGTTTCAAAATAAAGGAAGCAATGAACAGGGCAAAAAGCAGAGAATTGAAGCACTGGACACTAGATATAAGCTGTAAGCTGTAGAAAGCCATCACCTCTAGTTTATATCATAAACCTACATACTTTCTGGCTGTTTCTTACACTTTTTTTCCTCTGCTTTTTGCTTCTTCTGTCTCAACCATTCCTCCTTTGGTATCTGACCTGGTAAATGAGGACAATATCTCTGTCCACAGAACTGAGTGTGGCCTGCTGTGGACATGGGTTGGTTGCATACTTTGCAGGTGTAGATTTTCCTGGGCCCTGAACTCTCACCACTGGCCTTCCTCTTTCTCCATTCTGTGGTTCTGGACATTGGTCTCTGGGTTGAAGCTCCTGGTTGGTGGGATGTGGCTCGTTGAGGAGGTAACACGACACCCTGAAGTAGCACCTTCACTTCATCCCTTCTGGTCTTGTCCTTGAACCACTTGATCAAAGTGGTCTCATTGATCGAGAAGAGAATCAGGTTGGTATCTTCTAGTAGCTTCTCATTATTTAGTAGCCTCTGTCTAATTTTGTTGTAAGCAGAGAGTATAAGCTTCCACCTAGATGTATATCTACCTTCTTTGGATGGTGTGGTTATGTCTTCTGACAGATAGCTTCTACAACTCTGCTCTTGGTTGGAGAGGAGGCTGGAGAACCTGCTGAAAGAAAACACCAGGAAAAACCCCAAAAAAACCTATGTATTATCATGAAGAGAATAAGAGAAGGAAAGGCAGAAAAGGACAGACAGGGAATTCTTAGATTGCTTAAGAATTACCTTTTGACAGCATCTACACCAACAAAACCACCTTTTGATCTAGCAAAGCGTCCCTTTGATGGCTTCTTGACCTTGGCTGTATACTTGATTGGCCTCCTGTCAAAATCCAGCAAAACATCAAACAACTGTTTGATATTATTAGCCTCAGCAGCTGTGATGCTGATGCCTTTGAGCTGGATTAATGCCAGTGCTAGGGCCTCCACCTTATCCCAGCCAGGAATACCTCGAGAGTCAACACTTACTGATAGTTCCTCTTCTTCCTCTTCCTACAAAAATATACTTGTTAATAAGTCATGCAGGAAACAACAACAATGAAACATACAAAGTCAATAAGGATGTTCCTTTCAACTACATGACGGATTAGTAAAAATTGTGTAATGTACCTCTTCCTGATCGTCATCATCTTTTTCGTCATCCTCACTGTCACTGGAGTACACCGGGGCAGCTGGCAGAACGTCTTCCTCTAGCTCATTACCAAAGTTGAGAGCTTGTTGCGCGTCGTCCTCAAAGTCTTCAAAGCCTTCATCTATTTCAGCTTCAAGCTCTTCATCCTTTGGTAACAAGAAGCCACTCTGTTTGTACAGGTACTCAATTCCAATCAACTCCCCTGTATATTCTGCTGGGATCATGTGGACAGGAACCAGCGACTTGTTGTGGAGTGATTGGCTGAGAGAATTCACTTTCTGCGTTAACCTAAAGTCGAACGTTCTAAATGGTGTTGGTCCTACATTCATGGCTGCTGCTGACCGTAGGTAGTTCCATCTTGATACACCATCTAGAAGGTAAGCCTGGAAGTTGACAACACTTGCGGAGGTACCAGGAATAAACTTCACCATGTGGCTGTGGAACGACTCCAGAGATGTGGAACCTCTGGCACAGCGATACACAGGAAGTTTCTCCCTAACTTTCGACATGTCACCTGTCACTGTATAAAGCTTGAGGCCTAGAAAACAAATAAAAAAGGGAAACATATTAAGACTAATTTAGCATTTGAAAATTATTTCACTGGTTTAGATATCAAAGATACAATTTTCAGTTTTTATGTTTAGTTTACCTTCCATATCTTGTATGCAGGCAACATGCTTTTTCTGCTCGCTCCAGATTGTGTTGAGCTCTTCCTTCAGAATGGCAACACCAAGTGAATCTGTTACCCCTGTCAAGCTCAAAATAAGGGATTCAATTTCCTCCGTTGTTTTCTTTACACCCCTCGTTCATCTGCGACAATGCCTATAGAGTAGCAGAAATAATTCAAATATAGTTTTAGATTACTACAAGACTGGTCATCGGATTAGAATTTACATGGATTATCTTTCTTTCTTAATTATGTTAATTATAATTTACCTCTCTAATTCTCCCTTAGTTATCGCCTTGTTTATAGCAGACTCACTCGGATTTGGAATACCAGAGGCTTCTATTTCCTTCTTTTTGGCAGCCTGTAAATGAAAAAAAAAAGGGATTTTCAAGTTAAAGGGGCAGTCTGATTTTTTTAGTTGAAAGTTTTTACTTAACTCCACATACCTTAAGATTAGCTAAATCTGTCTTGTCCCATTCAAATATGGCGCTGGATAGCCGGGACATGAAGGTGCCATATAATGGATGACTCTCTGAAGTGCAACCAAGGGCAAGGCGTCGCATAAAATGCCATATATCGAGACGGATTTTTAAATCTGTCCACTTGGAAAACAGGACCTTAAAAAAAAATCATGTAAGTAGCTTTAAGGTCATGATGGATATAAAATATGTTTTTTTTTTTTAAATAACTACAATTTCGTAAGTGTGTACGGTACCTTAAACTTAGATGGACCGTCTTGGTTGCAGCATTCACGGTCTGTGTAGAGGCACTTGGGTAGATCTTTCTGTGAATTTTCGAATCTTGACATCAATCCCTCTGCCATCTCCCTTAAACTGTCAACAGATTCAGAAGTTGTCAGTACTGACATCAAAATTTCGCCCCTCTCGTTGCCACATTGGTTGCCCATTGAGCACTGTTTGCAGCCTTTCCTTGAAGTTTTTTGCACATCTGAAAGAGTAATTATACATCAAATTCAAACATTTGTTTATGGAAAATCATCTTTTTTAAATCACTGTGCATTTTTTGTACTGCTTTCAAGATAAATGAAATAATTTACTTTTTTGGTTGAATCTATTTTCAATATGGTGCCATAGGTTGGTGTTATCATAGCCTTCAAGGTTTCCATCCGGTTGAAAACATCCCTCACATAGCTACAGCTCCAATAACAGCTTCCATGGTTGGTGCTTCAGCATAACTATGTTGGCTGATACTGAGAGACTTCAAACCCTTCCTGTGTTTCTGGCAGTCTTAAATGTATACCAGCTGTTTTTATATGCTTACACAATGCAACGATCATTGCACTTATAACCCTTCCAACCGCATCAAAACTATTTGTTGCTATTATAGACAGATGGATATACACTTACCATTAAAACTTGTCCTATTATCGTCAATTAGAACTTGAAATTGGCACTCTTTTCCAAATGACGCTATTAAAGCACGCGTTTTCACTTCGGCTGGACCTCATTGACATTGCGAAATGACCAGGAGTTTATTTCTAGCAGACGATATTTCTTTCTAACATTCATACGTATTCACCTAATAAACAGGAGACCGAGATATTATCCTGTCCTATCTACTACCTATCGCCACATCTTACGGGCACGTTCTATGGTCACATCCATTAAAGTGTAAATGATGTTTTAACATCAAATCCCCCCTCCCTTCTCTTTTGATTTTCGCATAGTTGTTTTTCTTTGGGTTGTTTGATATCGGCGACGTTTACAGATATAACTACTTTGCCTTACACTATTTCTATTTAGTTCAGTGCGCATGCGCAATTTACCATTTCCCATCACGTGGGTTTGTTTATACGTCACAATTACAATCATACTAACGATGATAATGAGTGTAACTGAGTCATACCAGGGGGCTTTGATGTGTGTTAAGTCTAGGGTACTTAATGGACTTACGGACCTATCTCCAATTGTATTACTCACGTAATACATATACTAAAATTGGAACGATACAGAGAAGATTAGCATGGCCCCTGCGCAAGGATGACACGCAAATTCGTGAAGCGTTCCATATTTTTCGAATCTTGATACGAGATCCTTTTTACAAACCCTTATCCTGACGCCCGGTATATGGTGCTATTTTTTTTTTAATTTCGATATTTCTTTGGGAGCAGCTTTAAGGCAGTTCTCTGAATGACAGCACGGTTATACATAGGCCTATTTTAGGTAAACAATAATACAACGTCATAACAATCGCCGCTTAAAACAATCAATGCATTGTTGTTGCTGTTTAATGCCAGTATTGTAGGTTGAAGTGCCGAAGAAGGTTTCCGAAGCCAATGAATTGCCAAACAACTCAATTATGTCATAATTAGCAATACAATTGACATATATATGCTTCCACAATGCGATGATAATTGCACTTATAACCGTTCCAACCGCATCAAAACTATTTGTTGCTATTATAGACAGCTTCCATGGTTGGTGCTTCAGCATAACTATGTTGGCTGATACTGAGAGACTTCAAACCCTTCCTATGTTTCTGTCAGTCTTCAATGTATACCAGCTGTTGTCGAAGCCATTCTTCAGAATGTATTTCCTGCAAATTGTTTCTCATGGCTGTGGGACTGTTTCCGAATGTTCTGGAACGCAGCAAAGAAACAACAGCACGATCACAGGCATACTTGTGAGTGAGCAGAACAGGAAACCGTGACTTTACTGCATCACTTAGTTGTTGAAGTAGTCTGGTGTCATACGATATGTACTGCCCTAAGCAAATTCGACAGTACATATATTCTGCTGCAAGGTATTAACATTCCTTCACATTCATGACCAGTCTTACTCGGTCGTAGAGGCCCATTGAACGGAGGGAATTGTCGGCACAATTCACACACACCGGGCACTTGAAATCTACACCAAGCATTTTTCGGGGCATCCACAAGAATAACTTAGGCTGGAAATGCATCCGGACATCTGGCATTCCAGTGTGTAAACGTGAA